CAGTGCCTCTGCGGATGCAACCCAAACTCATTCTGATTTCTACAAAGTCTACATATCATATTTCAAATTGGGGCCTGTTCTTCCTGTCAGAAGCATGAAAAAATCCCTTTCATATGAAAGGGAGCTGGGTGTACACAACTGACAGGATTATCAGGCCCATGATAGCACTCCTATCCCTTTTTCAGCAATACTGCTTTCCAGGTTATTCCCTCACAATGAATACCTGTTTTGGATTACTGTCCCTCAACTGGTTTAGCTTGCATTTTCCAAACTAAATCTCATTTGTACTTTCCAACAACGTGCTGAATTTCTTTAGTTAACCTTTTATTTTCTGCCCTGACTTGTGTTCAACTTCCCGCTACCGCTGCCTGCTTAGAAGAGAGCGTTCCGAGAAGGTGAACAGTAAATGAATCCAGTCACTAAATGTGCCCAAAATGGCTAAACTTGTATTACTACATGCATATGTAAGCCCTGATGTTATTCTTTTAGCACCTAAAACTGCTGTGACTCACCAAATCTATTCTTTATACTTTGTTCTATTTTTGTTTATGGTCCTTCAACCAGTTTTTCCTTCAGATGACTGTACGTATCCATAAATAATTTGTTAATGAGAGTATTTGAGATGTATTTGAATTTTAGAAAAATACGTGCATTATTACTACAGCTACAACTTTCTCTTATCCACTGGGGCCTTGAGCCTGAAACCAGATCTGGCAAGCAAGCCAGTCCTGTACTTCTCCATACTTACTGATCCATGTGCAGATGCTGTTGCACTATAAGATCCTAATTTTAAACCCTGAGTAAGAATAACAAAGAAAATTCTTTAGAAAGTAATTTTGCTTAGAAAATTCAAAGCTGCTTATTGTTGTTTCTCTTGTATTCCTGCCATTATTTTACTAGGAAGAGAATCCCTTAAATTCATCTAGTTCTTCAGATCATGGTTGGTATTTTGTATTCACTCCCTAAAAAAAGAAAAAATCAGTACTATTATTCAATTTCTTAGTGGCATCTTGAAGATCAAGTGACTTACAAGTATCTTCACATCTTTTAAGAACCCTCCCTATCTGTCGTCAATAACTAATTTCATATGGTCCTGATTTCTAACTGTTCACACTTTTTCATCCTACTATATACAGAATTTCAGGAAATCCCGCGTAACGCCTTGTCTTTATAGTAACTTCATACAACTTCTCATTTATGAACAGATTTCTTTCCTCTCTACTTGACTTCCCCTTACCTGCCCAATATTTACAACAGCAAATTTACATTTACGCAGTACTAACTCATTTCTGCTGCCTTTGCCAGAAGTTTACAATACACACCTGGTTCCCACCTTTCAGAAATTCTCTGCAGAACTGAGAATTAAACCTGTTTTACCTTACACTTAGTCCTTTCACATAATTTCTCTTAATACAGATAAATACCTTTTAAAAGCAAACTCATGTTTAATTCAGTTAGGCATACTTCATTGGCACATTTAGTTTACGAGGTCTCTCACTCCCCAAGAACAGATGAACACCCCCAACAGAAATAAATGTACTGCTTGTGCGCACCTGAAAACCAACAAAACCTAATATTAAGATACAAGGTCTCATCAACCCAATTTTTTTTTTTAGGACTGTAACCTAGTCAACCAATAACATAAAAACCAGGCTACATTTCATGTTAACTTTCTTTTCACCTACTGTATGTTTACCAATGAACAAAAACATAAAAGCATGCCCACATTACCAATGTTTACATTTATTACCCCATATTAAAATATTTTCATTAACATTATAAAATAATCTTTAGAGAAGCATTTAGAAAATGCTTTACTAATTCACCTCAATTGAGATGAAACATCTAATTTGCACTACATCCAAGGGAATTACACTCTCTGACGCTGTAGTGACTTACAGAACTACATTAACAAGTACAGTCTATCAATGGTTATCGGCACTGTGGCTTTTGACTGCTCGCTAAGAACCACAGTGCATAAATTACTTCACCTGTCAAACAGCTCAAAGCAACACAGGCACAAAGTTTGAACAGCACAAAGACTTTCCCTGGTGTAAATAACTTCTTCCAGTGAGAGAAAAGAGGGAGCAGTGCAAGGGAGAAGGGGTAGATAGGATTGTCTATTATGCTTCCAAATATCACCTATCACAAAGCCTATCAGAATTATATCAGAAGTTTAAACAATTCACATCTTTAATGAAGCCTAACATACATTCCCAAAGACACTCAGAAAAATTCCACAACAGCCAAAATGAAGAAGTTATTTAAACAAAAAAGAGACACCTCACAACTGCCTAGGAAAAAAAACATACCAAATTATTGTTTTGCAAAACATTCCATTTGATCAGCCAACATGACTACTGATGTCACACAAATAATTCAACTTTCTATATTATTTACCCAGTAATCTTAAGTCAAAATGAGAGCATTAGGGATAAGACAGCAAAACGAGCAAGTGGTCCCTGCAGCTTGAGATCTTATCAAACACAGTATGCCAGATGTTTTGCAGAAAGAAGCAACTTTCACCACAAACCACCACGCATCCAAATCTGCAACTGTGTTCATGTAGGTGTGCACTACTGACTCCCTGGGAACTCAGCGGGGTCCCACCTGCCCCGCAGATCCCTCACTTCACAGGAAGTGAGGATAAATATCTATACAAAAGCTGACAGGCCTCAATTTGTTTGGCTGTGTTTGTAAAGAGACTTGAGGAACTTTTTTTTTTCCAAGGGTAATTGCTCAGCAGTTCATGAAAATCCAGCCCTATAAAAAACCTCAGGTTACCTTCTTCAACACAGATAAAGAAAAAGACTGCTTATACTAATTTATCATTAGAGTATACACCTCTCCCCCCCAAACATATCCCCCCCTTCAGCTTCTATGTTAAAGCTAAATGAATGTGAATCCAGCAGAGATATATGTGTAAATACAGTCCTACTACTGCACATGTAAGGCAGTGAACTCAGCTGGGAAACAGTTCACATCAAACTCAGATTATGTGAAAAGCAACAGTGAGTAAAGTAGTAAGTAAAAAAAAAAAAAAAAATCAAAAAACCAAACCAACCGCTAAATACCAATCCACCCCAAAACCAACAACCATGACAGTTTATTTCAGAATGGCCTGAGTAAATTACAGAGATTATGGTAACACAGACATTTTTAAAGATTCTTCATCTTAACAATCAACTTTTGTTTCTAAACTCCAAACAAATAAAAAAAAATTATTTGTATGCAATAATTTGAACATATTTTCAGCAAACGTATTTTAAATGATGTCAATACCAGCATGCCAACAATAAAGGCAACATTTTTGCATGTCTGATTCTAAATTAAAAAGTGGTATCTTATTAAAAATTAAAAGTCATTAGAAGGCTAAATTAACATTAATTTTGGTAACTGTCACAGCCTACAAATGCTTTCAAAACACAGATAAAACCACAAAAGACACACAACCTTCTACTGCAAAAAGTTAGGCCATTCAAACACATGAAATACAGAAACAGAAAGGAAAGGGTAAAACCCAAAAAGCTATTATTTTTCAAATTATATGTAAAATATGTTCAAGTAAAAGACTACATTATCCAACAGGAAAACTCAAAAAGCAAAAAAAAAAAAAGCTTTCTATGATCTGACAAATCTTTAGCAACACTATCTCAATACCATGTAGCAGAGGGGGAAAAAAAAAAAAAAAAAAAAAATCACACTAAGACAGCAGAGAAGGACATCCTGAAGTATGCTTCACACTTCAGCCCTAGGCCTGCTAACAATCATAAACTTAGCTAAAACTATTAACAATGGTCATTTATTTTCTTAGTCTGGATCTTAAAGCAATCATATGTCACCACCAAAAAAAGAAAAATTCAGTAACTACAGATCTCTGACTAAGGTTTTCCAGACATCATTGTAACTCAATAACTGCTCCACTGTGCTATGAACTCTACAGCTTCAAGCTGGAAGTCAATCTAGGACAACCAATAGAAAGTGCACCTGTACAATTACTACATTTCCTAATTCAGGAGGCCAAACCAGAGACAGATGAAGCTTGTGTGTACTCAGATCACCAAAACACAAATCCAAAAGCCCATACATCTTTTGTATGCATTGCACATCTCTATTATCATTAATTGCAATGAAAATAATCATTTATATAATTCAGAAACATAAAATTACATTCCTTAACCAACATACATAAAACTTCAGTCTAGATGAACTATAATTGTATATATATAGCATCTAAAACCACTAAAAACACAATAATTTTAGAATTTTTCACACAAAGAATAATCACCAAAAGTTAATAAAATTATTTTTAAAAAAATCATCTAGTAACTGAACAGAACCACACACAGTAATTTAAAATATTCAATATGAACACCCTGCTACATTTAAAAAATAATCTGCATCACAAAAAATAACCTGTACCACTTCAAGGAGTGTAAGAACTGCAGAAATCTGCTATTTTTCAAGTAATAGAAATAAAAAAAATGTAGCTCTCTGTACTCTAAAATAAAAAATAAATTACTAGCAGCATACATTATAACAACATAATTTAACCAAAGCAGCCTACCTTCCTGCAGATGCATTTTCATTCAGTGTCTGACCTCACTAAGTAGTAAACAAGTTTACACATATCAACACATTTCAGTGCTCCAAAAATTAAGCTAAGTTTCTGTAACTACAATAACATGATCTCTTAGCAAGCGTCCTTTAGTACCGTCGTTCTACAACAATCAATAAAAATGGCTCTGACATGTATTGTTTATAGACTTGAGATCCCTTCAAAGTTTAAGGCTTGCAGACGTAAAATACAAGGAAAATAACTACAAACCAAAATTACCTTTAAATGACCACTGCACCAGACCAGTATGGAATTACAAGTTCTTTCTGCTTTATTTTATAGCATTTCTAAAGAGTAGGGATATTTTTACTATTGCACACACTGAAAGCCAAATATAATCCCACACTCAAAAATACTACTGCAACAGCTTGATAGCACTCACCGCAAGTAATACTGTTTTAAAGCGAAGGCAGCGTTAGAACAACTTCTGGGAAAGTTAAACTCCTCTACAATTTCTCCCCACTGATTCTTCTCTGATACCTGTCAAAAACAACACACAGGCCGAGATACACAACGTACACATAAACATGTCGTTGACAGCGAACACCACAAAAAACCACAAGCTGCCATGAAGCAAATAGATAAATATATAAAAAGAAATAAACAGGAACGTATATGGGATTGTGGACTATATATTTTACTGACAGTCGGTCGTATTCCCCCTTCGGGAATAACCCCGCTTTTCACCGGCTTTCGATTGTATTTATTTTTTAATATATAGGGCAT